CAGTTACTTGGCCCTAACAAAGCAAAAATTCAGGAAGAGAATTTTGTGAGTCTCTGCAAAGAGCAGATGTCCAGTGGTGAAGAGGAATGAATGCTCCATTTAACTATTTTGCCTCTTTGCAGGACAAATTACTGTCAGATGAACAGAAAATGAACTTGTTGCAATGGGAAGATGTGAAACAAGTAACTTCTGATTGTTCTGCCTGTTCTTTCCTTTCATCAGGCCTGCAGTGATTTTCCTAAATTTGTTTGCATTTCCTGTACTCCCTTATACCTTTTACCTACACTGGAATTTTGTTGGGATAGCCACTGTTTGTTAATTCTCATTCTGTTTGGGAATGAAAGATCACTTTAGCCCATTTACAGCCTGGCAAAGACTGTCAGTTGAGGCCTTAATGATTGTCTAGAAACTGCAGATAAAAATTTATGAGGTCTGCTATTTTTGTGCTGCACAGAAAGTCACCGAAACAACTTTATGGTAAACTCAATTGTGAGCAAGACACTACTGCTTTTTATCCTTCTACAGCCAGGACAGTCTGTTGCTGGTGAAAGCCTTGTGACTATGTTGTTGTAATATATGTGTATTTTGACAATAGTTTCATTTGAGTGAAGATTGGAGCTGTTGAGTAACATTTCATATTTTTTCCCCTTAACCCATACTGCCACGTCCTTCAAACCATCAGCTCTCCCTGGAACTGGAGAGTTAGAAAATAGCAGAACAGAAAATAGACACACTGTCAAGGTGATTCAGGACCTCTTGCAGACTTTCCCACATTTTACTTTACATGGAATAGTTTGACCAAAATCAGTTTAACTGTTCAGAACACATGAAATTAGCAGGCTCAGAAATGTTGAAGAAAATTAGGAGTACAGTTCTTGAAAATTCCTACAGAGTTTTGAACTTAAATCATCTTCCCAAATGAATAACAATTATTTCATTTCAGATTTATGTTTGGGGTTTATTTGTCTGGATTTTTGTTGTTTGTTTGTTTGTTTATTGATTGGTTGGATTGGTTGTAGGATTTTTGGGTTTTGTTTCTCTCCCTGTCATGGCAGAAACTTCATTTTGGTGTTCAGTGATTATTAATGATAAAATATAGGGCTATAAAATCTAAGAGAATTTATGATTGAGAAGATTGATTCAAAAAATAGGCGTGAAGAAATCTTATAAATATTTAATTACTATTTTTCATTGCAAATTTTACTGTCTTGTTTCCAAATAGAGCTAAGGGCTGATATGTTACATATAGATCTAGTCTTACATTAACCAACTTTTAGAAATCTATTTAAATGAAATATGCCTTCAAGGAGGAAATCAAACACACAAGATTGACTGCGAACTCCATAAAGTCATTACCCTTTATATTTTGTAAAGCACATTGATCTTTCATTATAATAATTTATTTTAAGTCCAATGAGAATAAAACCAAGTGTTTAATCATGTTTGATTTCTTAAGAAAGAGGGTAAAGAGGTGAACAAGGGTCAGTTTCAGAGTGTCTTTTACTCATCTAATCACACAGAGGGTTACAGTACCACCCCCTGCCTCTGTCAAAGGCATCATTATTTCAGAAGAAGAAATATACTGCTCAAATCACACTGAAAAACATCAGTTTTGTCATGGAATCTGGATCAGTCAGGTCACTCAAACATGGGGAGAAGTGCCTTTAGCTTTCCCAGCACTGCTTGAGTTGCTCATCCTACAAAACACACGCCCACAAACACTGCCCTCTGCATTAATCACAATTAACATCCTTAACACAAGGTCAGGACAGGGCTTGGAGCAACCTGGGATGGTGGAAAATGTCCCTGCCCATGGCAGAGGGTGGCCCTGGATGGGCTTTAAGGTCCCTCCCAGCCCAAACCAGTCTGATTCTGGGATTCTGAGTGTGTCTGGTTATGGCTGGAGTATCAGGACTTTCCAGTGCAGTGTTTTGAGGGATTAGTGAATGTGTGGTAGGTAAATGAAGGTGACGCTGGGAAATGTTGATATTTTTAACAGCTTGAGAAGTTACCTTTCCCTCGTCTTTTTTTCAGGTTTGATCAAAGCACATCTGACATATTTGTGAGGAGATTTTGTCACACAGGCAAAGAGGTATTCTGAGTGTGGAGAACAATGAACAGCAATGGAGAGAAACACAGAACACAAATTTTTGTTAGTGTGATGGCAAGAGAAGTTTGATTTGGAGGATTTGATTGCTTATTAGTCATATACAAAGAGGCAGCACTTTTAGCACTTTTAGATGCCCCTGTGGGGCATTCTGCTCTAACCAGACATATTTAATTTTCTGCAAAAGAAATTAAGGAAGAGAGTTCTGTGGAAGGGACAAAGAAAATAGAGACCAGATCACAAGAGACATATCTGTGGTGTGGATTTAGAAAATGAGACACCAACATGTGCAATTTACCTCTAAACTGTTACATCTTCATCCTGTCTTGGTTGTGCAGATGTGCTAAACATTTGAAACTGGAGGACCAGTCCATTTTTATGTTTCACTCATTGACATGATGGGTTTTATAAGGTAGGAATGTCCCAGAACCCTTCACAGACTGACACTGCATTACAGGCTGCTTTGGCACATGTCATAATTTCAGATACAAGTCTTGAAATGGAGGAAAATTGACATTTGGAAAAGAGTTTGCTTCTAAAGAGAGGTATTAGCAGAAAAATGAAAGATAGGTTTTATTAAAAAAATAGAAGACTTCTCATATTGTGAGATATTTTTCTTGTTGAAGGTATAATTTAGCAAAACAGAAACCTTTCATGAGAAAGTGCTTGTTTCAGTTAACTTGTCAGGAAATGCTTTGGGAAACAGTGATTTTTATAATATCAGGTGCCTTCTAACAGTGAAGATTTTGATTCTGTTATCTGAAACAGAATTTAAGTGCACAATACTCAGAAATTTAATGAGAAGTGAAACTGTAATCTTCACAAGACCCCTTGACATTAAACAGGATTATTTTGATGTCAGGAGATCATTCTGAGTGATTCAAACTGAAAAGACACTTATTTTATCAGTTCTGAAAATTTTCTCTGAACTATTGGTCATGAGAGGAAAAAGCAATCTCCTGCTCAGTGTCAGCATAACTCCTACTTCAGAAATTGTGGTGCTGGAACAACTTGTCTGATGCAGAGAATTAAGCATTTCAGTGTTCTCGAGCGAGAGATGTCTCTGTTGCCTAATGGCCCAGTGAATTTGGTAATGATTTCAAAAGAATAAACTCATGTTTCTCTATTTTATGTCATTACAGAGAAACTGGGAATCATCAGAATACAAAAAGGTCACTGGGCTTCAACTGCATATCATTTTGTAAGATGGTTTTTCCTGACTTTTTTTACTCCCACCTTTTGTTTCCTGTCAAGTAAGAGAATTCATTAAAAAGACCAAAGTTATTCATTCAAACTCAGTCTCAGCACAGCTCCCTGAATAAAACTTAAACCCTCATGTATTTCACTTACAATTTATTTTACATAATTAGGAGATGATTACCTTTGATACAGAGTTTTAAAAAATACCCCACACATTTGATCGATAATAATTTAAAACACCTTTAATTTGAATTACAAATGAGATAATTGTGGAAAAGTGGCTGAGGATCACATAGCTTATAAATTTTTAAACAGCCTCGATTTTCAAAGTTGTAGACAGTTTATTTTAAATTAAAATGATCTTTATGTCAATCTATATGGACAGCAATGCTGCTGTTGTCTTTGTAAATAAAATAGTTGCCATTAAGGTATGTGTGACTCCCTATGTCTACTGTATTTTCTTACACAGGAATTGGACAGCATAGTGCATGTGGAAAAATGAGTAGTGGCATGGAATAACTGAAAAAAGGATGAAAGCAATATAGACTTGCAACTTTCATTTTTGATATCTCATTATAACTTTCATTTTTAGAAGCATGCATAATTCACTTTGTAGCTGCACATCTGTAGATTGCTAAATAATGCAATTTCATAATTGCACACTGTGTACATAGGAGAGGAATTAGCAGAGTAGCTGCAGTGAGGTAACTGCTACTTTTGCATTCACCAAATTTTATTCCACCATTCCAGGTGTATGTCTGGTCCAGGGGAAGGACCTTCCCCTTCAGATTCTGAATTTGTGTCTGGTTCAAGTTGTGAGAGCTCAAAAGTTTCTTTCAGACAGCTGTTTTGTAGCCAGAAAACAATATCATGGTCTAATCTTCTTTAGATATATGGCCATCTGAAAAACAAAACAGAAATTATCATCTCAACTAGCCACTGCAGCACCTCTTTCCAGCAACTGAACAGAATAATTATTTCATCTTGATGATCAAGTTTTCATAGAATTCTGATCTTTCACTCCTGGCTTTTCTGGGTTTGATCCCTAGTGGTAGTTGGTTGCTATGTGTCTGTGTGGATGAAAGGTTCAGTCAAATAAAATTCCAGGCATTTCTCTTTATGAATACTGGTAGTGCTCTCCATGAAGAAAATGTCTGTGGTTTCCCAGCTAGAGATAAGAGTATTTAGCCCATAATTTCACTGAGAATTAAACAGATGTGCACACTGTGGACTGACTACTGCAAATTGCTATCCATCCTCCACACTGAGCTCTTCCAGCTTCCTGGGAAGGCAGTGACAGACAAGGGTCATGGGCAGCTACAGGACAGTGCCCTTTGCTTTCTAGCAAGTTAACTTCACAGAGACACTGCTTCCTTTTCTTCTGAGCTGGCTGCTGAGCTGTACCCCTGTTATCTGCTCAAAAAGAATTGAAAATATGAGCAAAAACATGCCTATCATGTCTTTCAATTTATATGGAGTAAGGAATCAAAGGAAGCTAAAACCTCTCAAAGCACCAGCTGTAACACAGTCCAACTGCTATTGAGTCTGAGCAACTTGGTTATTTGAATGCTGTTAAATTATTAAACATTCTTTCTCATGTCTGTTTTCCCTCTTAGTGTTTCTAATTAAATTCTACAGAACACAGATATCTTATGTATGATTTGTTCTATCAGGGGCAAGCACAGATGAATGCAAAAAACCTGGAAACTTGTTGGATTGGTGAGTAATCCCTTATTAGCGTGAGTTGCATCATCCCTTCTTTAACAGCTTGAACAAGATAAAACCATTGTTGTTCTGCCTTTGAATGCACCAAGCTCCTTGTTGCCTCATGTCCTGGTTCTGTGGTAAGCCTCAGAGGGTGAAGGGAAGGGTGAGAACCTTTTATGTGAAAATTTTCCAAGCCAAATTACTGTAGAATGGAACACGAGTGTGAACTGAGGGTGCTTCATCTCTTCTGACAACGTGGCCACTGCTACTGGTTGTGGAAGCATCTGAAAAGTTTTATTTATTTTAGTTTTAATCACACTTCTGTAAGGACAGGTGGTACTCCTCGGCCATAAGTTATGGGCTGGCAATATGTCCTGTTGATGCTTTATAGGAGGAAATTGGTCTTGAGTCTCATTAATATGGTCTTTCCTTCTGGGAACATTGAAAACTGACAAGAAAAGAAACAAAGGCCAAATAGATCTGACACTTCATTCCTCTAAAGAGTAACTTTTTAAAAAAGTTGAATCATGAATCATACCCACAATCATTAGGGTATCTTTTATTAATGCAGATCATGGTCTGTTTATGACTTTCACTCAGAATATGTACTGGGAAGGCCAAATCTTGTCTCTCCTGACTCAATTCTCAACATAGCCTCTGTTCTTGTGATCTCATGTAGCTGATCCTACTAAAAAAAAGTGATAAAAAAATTATACCTGTGGCTGTAGGAAAACAAGTTGCGAAAATGGGCATTTTCCAGAATTCATTATGTTCATGCTCAGGGAGATGTAGCAAATAGAAATAAAAGAAAGTTTCCATCAGATGCAATGACTGAAATGAATTTGTCAGGTCAGGACTTCAATGGGTCCACATTCTTGTTCTCTGGCTCTTGTTTTCATATTTGTCCCATTCTGAGATTTTAAAGGTAAAAGGAAGGAAGCTGTACATGAAAGCTGCCATACAATGGTGGCATCCTGTCTGTATTTTGCTATTCCTAAATAATGTTAGTTCACTGTAGCCAATATTTCTGCATTCATCAAATTAGTATCAATTGTGTTTCAATAAAGAGCAAATCAGGAAATCTTGGCAAGTTCTTGCATTGCTGACAATCAGTTTGAAACTGCTCAACAGCAGCAGTTTTATTGCTTTTATTGAAATTAATTGAATCTTGAAACTTTAACCAGTTTCTGAGTTACGCTTTTGATGACATGAGTGTGAAATTGACATTTTTTCTCAAAATAAAAATAGTAGAAGCCAAACCATAGTAATTTATAAATAGCAGGTATTTCTCAGTGCATTCAGCAGAAGCCCTGAAGTCTGTAAAGATCTGACAATGTCCTTTCCATTTCTTCCCAGCTCTGATGCAGCTCCATGGTTCTTCAAAGGAAAGGAGGTGGCTGGTGCTGCTTTATGAATCCTCCAGTCTTGGTGTAAGTGTTAAATTTAGTCTCAGAACACTTACTGGAATTAACTTGGACTCGGAGCTCAGCTGTGGGATTGAACTCCTCAGGAGTTTTATAGAGCAGGTGATGTTATTTCTGAATCCCAGTAAGAATCAGAGGCCTGCAGAGCTCGGCACTCTCAAGATGAATGCACTGGGAATTGGCAGAAACAAAACTGCTGGGAATATTCAGGTCTAAGATGAATTTTGATGCTTTCCCCGAGTTAATGTTTAACCATTGTGCTTAAGCAATGGTTGAGGAGACATTTCCAAGGTTCCACTTTAGGTGAGCCAGATCTAGGCACCTGGGGTCCCTCTTATTCTTTCCATACTTTCCCAGTCTCTGAGCAGAAATGCTGCTTGCTTCCTTACGGACCTCTCCCAGGGCTAACACTGCTTTCACAGTAGGCTTTGGGACTATTTCCAATTAATAATCAGCCTTTTCAGTTTCTTTTTCTGCTTTTGAGAACACCCCTACAGAGGTGGAGAGATCAGGTCTCATGTTTCTGACAATAATTTATTATGCTCAGTTGCAGAAGTTAAAATACTCAGAAAGAGCTTATAATTACTTTACAGTTCTAGCTCTAGCAATGTTCCTGGCAGTCAGAAACACAGGCTTGCTGATAGAAAGAAGATAATTATTCCCTTTTCTTTCCATACAGAATCCTGTTTCACCAACCAAAGAGAGCACACAGTGGGTCACAGCAAGTTTGACTCCCCAGTTCTTGCATTGCTTAGGGACACTGAGAGCTTCTGCTCTGTTTCCAAAGCTCATCCTAACTCTGAGGGAATATTTCTGAGAGGCTGACAGGCAGCAAAGTCATTGCCTTTCCCTGTGCCTGTGTACCAACAGTATTGAGAAATACTAATAATAGAAATACTGTTTTCTGCCAGAGGCAGGGTTGTGTTTCCAACTGTGGTGCTGCCATCAGTTTTAGAGTTTTAGGACTCAGGGTTTTTTTGTGCAAAGGGGAGAGTGTAACATTTGGCCCAATATTAAGCTGCTCGTTGCTTTTTTTTTTTTTTTTTTTTTTTTTTTTTTTTTTTTTTTTTTTTTTTTTTTTTTTTAGCTGAAAAATTCAGGGGAGCACTTGCTTGGCAGTATTTTTAAAGACTGAATATGTCTGGCATTTTCTCAGAGCAGATTTCACAGCCTGGACAGACTGTGAGTGACAAAGTTAAAAAGGCAGTTTGAAGTTTAAATAGTCAAAGTGGAGTGCTATAAGTACAAAAACTGCAAAGAACACCCAGAGGCAGTTCATCTTAGGAAGATTCTGAATTTCCATGTCTAGAGTCACTATATAGATTTAGTTACAGTCATGTAAAGCAAAAGATTCCTGAAAAATTCCTCAAACTTACCTTACGCCTTCTACAATTCATAGAATACATTTGTCAGATGTAATTTTTTAAAAACATTCCAAAACTATTACATTTTGCCAGTGATGGGATTATTAATAGTATGTATGTATTTGGTTCAGTAATACCACATATGGCTAAAATTGGCATTGCCAACAAACCAATCCCCCAAAACTGCAGCTGAGGTAGTGTTAGCATCACTTAGAAAATCTAGTCCAGGGGCAAAAAGCTGGAACCAGGACACTTCTTATACTAGTGAGCAAATTGCAAGTTCTTGTTCAATTTTTAAGTTACACATTATTTAAAATAATACAAATCACTGGAAATGAATATTCACCACGAAGTGAGAGGAAATATGAAGTCTGAGTCTGTAGATTTAGAAGTCTCATGCAAATTTTTTTTATTTTTTTTTTATTCTCAGTTCTAGTTGCAAGAGTAAGATCTAACAGATTCTCTTTGTCTTGTATTATTATCTAGTTTTGAAGCAATTTCTCTATTTCTAACTCCTCTGGTCAGTATTTTCCCAAATAAAAGCTTATTATACTGCATGGCTTTCTTCCTTCTTTTGATTCTGGTGGAGTTGGGGTTTTTATGAGGTTTTTTGGATTTTTTTGGTGTTTTTATATTTTTTGTTTGTTTTGTTTTTGTTTTTGTAGTTTTTCAGGCTGCCTTTAATCTACAATAGGCAGTCTGCACATGGCTTTTAATTTTCTAACTCTTTTGATACAGCCTGCTGTTTGGTGGATATTCCTACATTTTCTGTAGCTCTAAAACTTTTCTGTACTGAAATTGCTTTGGGAATATCTTAATTTGCAGACAACTGTGGAGAGAGGCACTTCATACTTGTGGATTAAAAAAAAAAAAGTCCAGGAGCTCTCTAATCATTATGTTGTACTTTTTTCCCCTTAGAATTCTCAAGATCCTTTCAAGGAAGACTTAGAATGTTTGAGCTGATGGAAAGATTTCTGTTGATTTTCAAGGGCTTTAAAGTATTCCTTTAAGGAAAAAACCAAACGCCAACCTAAAAAACATCAGCACTGTTTTGGTGCTACCAAGAGTGAAATGTAAATGAAACCAAAAAATTATTTAAGTAATACAGTTCACTTTGTAGAAGACAAAAGAGGATTACCACACATCACCTCAACAGGACAATTTAAAAAATAATTAAATGCTGGTTCCAAGGCAATTTCATTTTCTTATTGTAATGGACAAATTTAACGCTTGAATGTGCCCCAGAAATAGTCATCCCAAGGCAATTTTATATTCTTGTTGTTGTGAATTTTTGATGCATGAATCTGTCCTAGAAATAGTGCTTGGAACAGAATACACAACCACTAAATAAAAAAAAAAAAAGTTCTTACTCTCATTCCAGCCACCTCTTGGAACATAAATTGGAATCTGGAGGAGGTAAAAGTGGATAATTCAGGATGAAGTCAACTTGAATTGCTTTTTTTTATGGATTCATTTGGGTGCTAGAAGATTTAGTGTTGCAGGGAAAAAGGGAAGAAGAAACCCAAAATATTAAGAAAAATAAATAGTGCATGCCTGTCTTAGTAAAATTAGGAAGACTTCAAAAGTTTTAAATTATAGGAAACTAAATATACTTAAAGAATGTAGATTATTGTAATATTTCTTGTCCTCTTTAAATGCATAAAGCTGTATTTGATTAGCAAATCTTAATCAGGCAAATTGTCTGTGTTGGGTGATTGATAAAAGCAGAAAACCTCTATTATTATATGTTTACTTTTTGTCTGTGTAATATTTTTCATTTTACAATGAATTTTGATTGTACTGAAGGTCAATTTGTGCAGAGGAGAAGGCAGGAAAAGGCATAGAAAGTTGCTTTTACTTCTCACACAGAATAAATACAGAAATGCACCTCTTGTGCTTTTCTTCTTTCCCCTTCCTCCCCCTCCCCTATCTAAAGCAAGAAGTTCTCTGCAAGATTTTTGAGATATAAGCTGCAAAAGCACAGCATTAGTATTGTTGCATGATTTAGATGGTCAAGTTCTAGTCACATATATAACTACTATACAATTTTTGGGTTTTTAGCTGGACTGTTCCAAATTAATGCTTTGTTTTGCCATTTTTTTTCGTGTTCATCAATTATATTACCTTTCTGTTCTGGCCTATGGGAAGACAATACTCTAACTATTGCAGCTTTGACTACAAAAAATATTCCAAAACCATGGCATGTCTTGGGAGTTTAGAGAAGCATGCAAAGGATTTTTCCATGAAAATTATTTAAATGATGGCATTTGTCTATGGCTGATATAAATATACATATCTGGATTGTAGTTAGATTTTTTTCTATTGGACTAGTACAGAATGTCCAGGAAAAAAAAAAAAAAAAAAAAAAGGAAAACCAACACAAAAGCCAAAAAAACCCCCAAATCGAAACCAAACAAAACCAAATAAAACAAAACAAAACAAAACAAAACAAAACAAAACCAAAAAAAAACCCCAAAAAACCCAAAACAATAAAACTAAAACCCCCCAAAAAAACCCAAAAAACCAAAAAACCCCCATTAGAACCAAAATCAAACCAACCAACCAGCCAACCAAGAAAACCCTTAATGGGCTGTGCACCTCCTTGGGCATTAGGATGCTGCAGTGAATATCTGTGTCTCTTTAGACACCAGAGGATGTCTCTGAAAAATGCACCTGACATATTCCTAAATTGTCTGCTTAAACTGAAATACATCACACCATAGAAATGCTGTCCTTTTGAGTGGAGGAGAGCAGGGGAATTAGTCTGGATGCAAATACCAACACATTACTTATTACTGTGACACCTCAGGTGTTGTACAACGCAGCACTTCAAAACCTCAAAATGAGTTGTTTATTATGAATAATTTCTCTTAGGCATTTTGCTTTTCTTCTTGCAAATAATTAGTGAACAATTAAGGTATTTAACTAGCTTTGGAAAAATTCCAAAGTGCATAGTAAGTACTTAGTGTAAATGGGAATTTGTTTCTTTATTGTGCCTGGAATTGTTCTCAAGGAATCTTTTTCACTATTTGAGTTGTTCACATTGGGTTTCCTGAGACTAGAATAATCACAAATTGGATTTGAACGCTCTTAGAGCTTGTTGTGTTGTTGTTGTGTTTAGAAGTCAAGAGGCATCTTTTATATGTGCTTGTTTTGCAAATGTCCACCAAAGTAGGTATGTGTGATGGCAATGGAAAACAGGTCCACACCCCCATTCCCCTACAGCGATAAAATCCTAAAGCAGCTCCACAGGTGCTTTGTTGCTTTGTGATTGTGCACTGTGCAAGGCCAGGGGCTGTTGAATAATCGGCAAGACTCTTCCTCCTCTTCAGGGTAAGTCACAGAGACAGCAGAGCCCACAAAGAGTTTTAAGCTATTAGTAGAGGGTTTGCTTCCTGCCCCAGCCTATTTGTGAGTGTGACATAAGAGCTAAATACACTTGATGCTCTTACTAATCACAGGAGTAAATCCCATCATTTGTGCCTTAGCAGGTAAGAAAAGTCTCAAGATGATGTCTTTTTAAATGCGCATTGATTAAAGTGCCACGAGCAGGTTTGTTAAATAGAGCGAAAGTATCTGCACAGATAATTAATCTGTCATGCTCCCCTGTACATTTATTATCTGCATTTCTGCATCAGAGCT